TCAAAAGAGATCGCAAACATGACAGGATAGTTCAGCGAGCACGTCTTCTGAAATGCCTTCTCCTCGCAGCATATCGTGAACAGCTTCCATGCGCTCCTCCATGGGAAGCGTCTCGTCACATAGAACTATCCGCAGATCCCCATAAAGGCTCCAGGCTGTGATGCTGCTGCTGGGACTGCCGTGCTCTGTTCTGTGTGTGCGCTGTGTGCTTTACCTTTTTGCCTTTGGTGTACCCAGCCCTGCCTCTCTTCAACTGCCTACCATCGGAGAGACGCAAGACTCGGGCACGGGGGACTCGGGCTGGCCTGACGGGGTCGTCAGGAAAATGGCGAGACACAATGTGAAACCAAACGCGAGCTCCTGCTGCAGACATCCCACGAGAACTGGACCGTCAAAACTCAAGACGGGCCCGTCAAACAGATTGGCAGACCCGAGTTCTGGCGAGCCCGAGTCTTACGCTGTCCTACGGCTACGGTCGGACATACAACAGAATGATAGCGGATAAAAAACAATCAAAGTCTTGTTAGGGCTATAGGGCTATGGGGTGATTGGGATGTAGGGCGATGGGGCTATGGGGCTATAGAGCTATGGAACTATAGGGCTATAGGGCCATAGGGCTATATGATATATAGGGCTATAAGGCTATAGGGCTATAGAGCCATAGGGCGGCTATAGGGCCATGGGGCTCTGAGTCGATAGGGCTATGGGGCCATAGGGCTATGAGGCTATAGGGATACAGGGGCTATAGGGCCATTAGGCTGTTGGGCTATAGGGCCGTAGGGTTATATGCATATAGATCTATAGGGCCATTGGGCTATAAGGCTATAGGGCTATAAAGCTATAAGGCTATAGGGATATACGGCTATAGGGATACAGGGCTCTAAGGCTATAAGGCAACTAGGCTATTGGGCTATAGGGCTGTAGGGCTATGGGGCTACGGGGCTATAGGGCTATGGGGTTATAGGGCTATAGGGCTATAGGGATATAGGGTTATAGAGCTATAGAGTTCTAGGGCGATAGGGCTATAAGGCTAAAAGGCTATAAGGCTATACGGCTATAGTGATACAGGGTTATGGGGCTATGGGGCTGTAGGACTATGGGGCTATGGGGCTATGCGGCCATAAGGCTATAGGGCTATAAGGGTGATAGAGCTATAGGGCTATAGGGCTATAAGGCACCCGGGCACCCGGGCACCTGGGCACCCGGGCACCTGGGCACCCGGGCGGGCCTCACCTAACCATATGAATCCGCTAGGACCCTTACAGAGGCGAGCTCTGATTGGGGAATAACATCCTTCAAGAGCATCAGACCCTCCGCCGGCCAAAACACCTCGAACCAGAAGGTCACTCGAGGGTGCCCTCCCCCAGGATGCACGAGAACATCCCACACCCGCGAAGAACACCAGGGTGCCCTCCCCGAACCGACCTCGATCTTGCACCTCGGGCCGACCGTGAGCCATGGAAGGGCGCTGACGCGTTGTGGCGTCTGGCCCCCGGGGGCCGCTCACGGCGGCCTCCCTGGGCCCTCCGAGAGGAGGCCCGCCCCGCCGCGCCGCCAAGAACCGAGGGGTGCAGCGCACGAAGGCACGGCGACCTCGCCAGAACTACGACGAAGACACCGCACGGAACGTCGGCCGCCTCGCGCGCGATCCTGCGCGGGCAGCTCGCGCGCCCACTCCCGCGGAGTCTACACTCTGTCGTGTGTTTCGTCGAGCCTGCCGTGGTGGAGCGAGCCCCCGAGAGTACGAGGTGTACGCGTGCGTATGCGGCCACACGCGCGCCAGGGCCCCAACTGGAGCGCCATCTGAGACACACTGCTGGGGCCCGTGCCTCGGGCCGGCCTCACTAGGGGGAGCCCGCGGCTGCAAGAAAGGCCACTCGACGGGAGGGTCCCTCAAAAATTCCCAGCTGCCCCTAGGCTGCCCCAGGCTGCCTCGGGGATCTGGTAACCCAGGTCAATCAGACCCGGGTCAGCAGGAAACCAAAAAACGGCGATGCGGGAAACAAAAACTGCAACTGCAACGCAGGGCTTCGCAAACCCGCGTCAGCCAATATGCGCGGTCGCCTCGCGGCCACGAGCGGCTCGCTAACCTGGATCAGCCAGAGGGGGTCTGCCCAAGATCCTGCAAGATCTGGTGCCCTGGCTGACCCCCGTTTGCATCTAGATGGAGTCGGAGTAGATGGGGTCGGAGGATCGCGCCGCATCGCCGATACATCGGCGATGCCTCAACGATACATCGGTGATGCACTGGCGATGCATCGTCGACGTCGGCGACGCATCGGCGACGTCGGCGTGAAGCAAATCGGGCTCCGCACCGAGCCGCATCGGCGATGCATCGGCGATGCATCGGCGATGCATCGGCGATGCATCGGCGATGCGGCGCGATCCTGCGACCCCATCTAAGCTCCGACTGCCCACAGGAAGGAAGACCACCGGGCGGCCGGGAGGACCTGGGGGAGGCCTCGAGGACGGCCCCGCGGTTTGCTCCGAAGAGGGCCTCGAGAGCCCAGGACGCCCGAAGAGTTGCGCCCCAACCCACCTGCTGTGGGGTCGTCGCTTTGAGGAGACAATGCCCCACGTTCCTTCGCCTCCTCCTCGCCCCTCCTCCCCACCCTCGACACACCACTCACACGCTTCGTGGCCCCACAGGCAGCTCCACCGAAGGCCCCAATCGCTGTGACCACATGCGTCCCGCGTCACGCGCCCGAAGATCTGTCCCAGCCTCGGCACTCGAGCTCATGCCACGAGAGAAGACGAACACCTCCGCGCGCGCACGGGCCTGCCCGTTCGCTCCCCGCTCTGAGAGCGCAGGCCCCGCACACGTCGGGAGGGCCCAGAGCGTCCGAACGTGTCCCCAGGGTGCACCCGGGGGCGGCCGAGAGCGGGCTGTCCAAGAGAGGGGTCCGCAGAGCATGGCCACGGGGCACGCGCGCAGACGCGGCGGGGACCAGAGGACGCGCTGGAAGAAGGAGAGGGGATCACCGGGATGACCGTTCGGTGGCGACTCATGGGAGCCTCCCAGACCGTCTTGTCGGCTCTTGCGAATCGACGCTAGCCGACGCTAAATCGACGCTGGTAGAGCTAAATCGACGCTACTCGACGCTAGCCGACGCTAAGTCGGCCCTGACTCATCGACTCCCATTCGCTAATCGACGCTGGAGACGGAATTAATAGGGTATACCAGACTCCCATGATCTGTTACCGAATTATCGCCTTCACAAGAACGGAATCAACCAACTGGCTCAGGCCTTGGGCACTAAAACATGATCGATTCTGTCGAGATATCACCGAGGCAAGTTGCACGACTCACCTGAACCCCTGAGCTGCTGCTACGGGGAAGCGGGAGGCATATAGGAGAAGGTAATGACTGGGTGAGGGGGATATTATGGCCCCCGCCATGATATCCACACCCCTAGTCATCCCCCCCCTCTTGGACGCCTCCGATGCCTCTGAGATGGCTCAGGAAAGGCCCCGAAACGCACCCGAGATGGCAAAACACGCTGAACACCGTGGACACGCGTTCCCCGCGATCTGCCCTAAAGATGTCAAATTGTTGCTTCTCAAGTCGGTCGTCAAAGTGCCCAACACCGCCCCAAAGGGACTCAGAGAGGCCCCTAGATGCCACCCGCTTCGCCCAGGATAGCCCAACAACGCCCCGAGATGGCCCCGATCTGTCCTCAAGATGGGACCAAGAGGCGTCAGGATGGTTCCAACACTGCCCCAGGTTAACCTAAGGCCCCAGAAGCTCAATGCCGGGGCCGAAAGTGCGCCAATCTAGCCAGACGATGGCTCCGCCTGGGGGGCCGGCGGCTGAGGGCGCAGCCCTTCAGACATCAACTCCGATTGCTATGGCTTCAGCCGCGACCGAGTCACCGAAGGCCTGCGCCAGGACTGGGAGAAGCCAATCGTGGAGTCGGCTCCTGGCTTCAGAGGGCGCGGCGGTGGTGCTCGCGTCGTCAGAGTCTGAGAGATCGGACGCGTGCTTGTCTGGGCTGCCCGTGGTTGAGCACGGCGCGGTGTCTTCGGGAGTTGGCGTTGGGCTGTCGTCTCTGACAGGCTCGCTCTCCTCCAACAAGCTCGCATCCACTCGATATCTGAGGCACGCCCCGACGCCAAAGCCATCACAAAAGCGCGCTCTCAGCCCACTGTTGGGATGCACTTCGACGAGGGACGCCCCACTAGCCGCGGCCAGCTCACGCCACATTTCCATCTTGCGGTTTGGGGGATCAGCATGTGCTCTTGACACCAACAGTTCCCGCACGGCGCCCATTCTGAGCGCCGCCATCGTCTCCGCTTCGCCATAGCATGCGAGATGTGCTTCACGCATCTCCGTCTGCGATAATAAGCTCATGAAGCCATTCACTGCCGCCTCTGCCTCGTTTTCCTGATCTGATACTGAGACCTTGAGGGGCAACGACAGGGGGGGACTAACTCAGGGGTGAAACCCCGACCTGGAATCGGCGATACAACGCCGACATATCGGCGATACGTCCCTGATAGCGAATCCGCACGTTCATGGGCGGTGTGGGGCGATCAGACCCCTGTCGACGATCAATGGGCGACTTGGGTCGGTGCATCCCCTCCTGATCCTGCCCCCCCCTTTCGTTTGCCCCTCAGACCTGCCGTATGCAAAGGGCCAGTTGGCGGAGGCCATCGAGATCAGCACGGCAGTCGAGGTCAACGGTGCGCACGTCCAGGCGGCGCAGCGCGACGGACAGCTCCCCCGCGAGCTTCCGCTTCATGCTGGCGGGCCCGCCGACGACGACGCCACGGACTCCACCGAATGTCCTTAAAGGAGCCCAGGGGGGACACAAATCCGCCGACCCCCGCTTGCGGGGGGTGAAAAGGCGTGTGAGACTTTTGGCTGTCCCCCTCCCCCCGTTCCCCTTCCCCAGGGGTCCAAGATAACGTTTAGGCGGGAGGGGTTACGAGCTCGTCAACGCAGCCCAGGGGCTCTCCAGAGCCTCCAGAGAATCCCAAAACGGCCCAGGAGGGCCCAAGCAGAGCTCCGAAACAGCCTAGGAGAGCGTCGAGATGGCCCATGGTAGCCCCGCGACAGCCCAAGATGACTTCGAGATAGCCCATGGGGCCCCAAGGACGGTCCAAGAGTGATCCTAGACGACTGCCGAGAGGGCCACAAGACGCAACAAGCGTGTCATGTGTCAGGAAAACGTGTATTTTCAACCTAATCACCTTTTTCGTCTTGACAGCGCCAAATACCGCCCAAGGGGTCCCCAAGATCGTCCCAAGACGGCCAGTGAGGTCATCAAGAGAACCCAAAAGACGGCCCGAGCAAGGCTCCGAATGCCTCGGGCCTTCTGAAATTGCTCTGAGACCTTTCCCGAAGACACCGAGAACTGTTCAGGGCTTCCGAGACGCCTTCTGAGAAGGCCCGCTCCTTCTCGCTTCCCCCTGGGCACGCCGCCGACGGCCCCAGGGGCCCTAGGCAGGCACACGAGGGCCCCGAGAAAAGCCCAACAGCAACAAGACGAACGGACACCTCGACGAGCCTCTCCCCCCCGCCATGGCCCCACAAGCCCCCAGGAGACCCCCGAGGCGCCCCCAAGAGGCCCCAAGAGGCCCCCGAGAGGCCCCAAGAGGCCCCCGAGAGGCCCTAAGAGGTCCCCAAGAGGCCCCCATGAGGGCCCAAAAAGCCAGCCAGATGCCCCCGAAGGCCCTCTGAGAGAGGCCCCACCTCCCGAGACGAGAGGACCCTCGTGATCCATCCGAAAGGCTCTTCCGCAAGGCTCCCAGCAAGCCCAAGAGCCCACCGGGAGCCGACAAGCGGCTCCCGGTGGGCCTCCACCGGCGGCCCCCAGAGGCCCTCGAGCAGCCCGGTGACAGAGCCCCACAGCCCCCCTTGCACACCCGAATTCCGTCCTTCCTCCTCCGCCCTCCTCCTGCCCACGTCAGCTTCTCCTCCTCCTCCTCCTCCTCCTCCTCCTCCTCCTCCTCCTCCTCCTCCTCCTCCTCCTCCTCCTCCGCCCTCGCGGGCGTGAAAAAAATACCCAGCCACCGCAGCCCCAACCGAACGCCCTGGACGTCTCCACTCCGCTGGGGGTCGGCAGAATCGCGTGAGCCACTGGAATAATTCGACACACATTCCAGGATCCCCCTGCTTCTCCCATCTTTACTGTGTATTCCTCTTCCCCTTACTTTCCCAGATCTTTACTGTATATTCCTCTTCCCCTTACTTTCCCATCTTTACTGTGTATTCCCTTACTTTCCCAGATCTTCATGGAAATCAGCGTGTCTCTGTGCCTGTGCCAATCTGCCCCTCCCGAGTCCTGCAGACAGTGTCGGCGACCTTTCGGAGGAACGCGAGCTCTTCCCTGTCCCGGTTGCGGCTGTAGCGCGCCGCCGACTGCCCCCCGCGGCGCGTGCGCGAGGCGATGCTCGCAGACAGGACCGCGACCTTGTGGCACCTGGCGGGCCCGGCGCCAGCAGTCGACGCCTGCGAGGTGCCCAGGATGGCCGCGTCGCCGGTGATCACCACGAGCCCGTACGTGAGCGCGCGGCGCTCTCTGAGCGCCTCTGCGACCGCAGAGGTGTCGAAGTCCTGCTCGCAGCGCAGTCTCGGCTGAGGCACACGCCGCAGCGGATGCATCGCCTCCGACAGCTCGCGGGAGCAGTACACGACAACACCATTTGGGAAGTCCTTCGGCGCAAGGGCACTGATCAACGCTGCCGTACGGTCGAGCGCCGCCTGGGCCCCTGCGCCGCCCATGCTAGGATCTCCACCGCACTTCATCTGCAATGCGGTCCTGGGACCAGAATGAGCCGTCGTTCAAAAGCGGAGCTGGGATTTCGGCAGTGACGCACATGGCAGCACTGCCCGTCGTTGCAGAATGAAGTCTCTCCATGAGGCCCTCGAGGTCCTCTGATGTCGCAGCTCTCACACACCGACATTCATTATTCACCGCGACGGCACAATGTAGGAATGCCATGTTCCTTCAGAGAGAAATGTCTCGACGACAGTGCTGATTGCACTGGGAAGCGCCAATATACTTGATCAAAGGATTACGTCCCCTCCTGTTCAAACATGGCTATAGGAATGTAGGAAGCAAGGACGACAAGAACAGATGCCCCTGCTACCCAGGAGCCACTCGACAATCTGCCACCATGCTCATAACTGCTTCGGGCAAGCCTCGGATATCCATGGCGCTACACTCGACAAGAGAGGATAGAGAGAACAAGGGAGGAAGGAGGCTGGAGGCCCAGAATTGTCTAGGCAGGACGATAAGAACGACGACGAAGAGCGGGAGGGGGAAGTGGAGCAGAGGAGGAGGAGGAAGAGGAGGAGGAGGAGGAGAGGGGAGGAGGAGGAGGAGGAGGAGGAGGAGGAGGAGGAGGAGGAGGAGGGGGAGAAGGATGAGGAGGGGAGGAGGAGGAGGAGGAGCAGGAGGAGGAGAGGGGAGAGGGAGAGGGAGGGGAGGAGGGGAAAGGGTGAGGAGGAACAATAGTATAAAGGGGAGGAAGACGCAAATGAAGGAGGACGAGGAGAGAGAGAGGAGGAGCAGGAGGCAAGGGTGGAGATGAGGAGGAGGAGGAAGAGGAGGAGGAGGAGGAGGAGGAGGAGGAGGAGGAGGGAGGAGGGAGGAGGGCAGGGTAGGATAGGGGTGTGGCCCGCATGTCTTCAGGCGGCAGGAGGAGGAAGGAGGAGCGGGAGGGCGGACGGGGGAGGAAGAGGTAGGAGGAGGAGGAAGAGGAGGAGGAGGACGACGACGACGGGTGCACGGTGCAGGAGCTCCCGGAGCTCGATTGGCGGACTATGCAATGTAATGAAGAAGATTGTTTCGAACGGTTTGAACCTGCAGCTGAAGGCTCACCGTGCAAAGCCTGGGTCACAGCTCGGGCCCGAGCATACATGGCCCATCGAAATTGTTCTAGCACCGATACGCAGACGCAATGGCCGCCAGAGGTGAAACCGCGTGCCAAAATCATGACGCCTACGCTGGTGACGGTGGGGCCCAAACGCTATCGGTGCAAACCGTGTATTGCGCATGTGCGCAGTCCGAGTTCGCTCAAGAGCCTTCAACATGGGCACCAACAGGGGTGCAAACCCACAAGAGTGACAATGTATCTCGCTGCTCTCCTGCAATTCCTGGACGCCCCCGAAGTCCGCAGCGACGGTGTAACTTGATCTTCAGGCTGGGTACGCTCGGTTTGCGTCGCGACGACTTCTGCGGTGGAGTCTGCCAGCGCCTGGATGGTTGAACCTTTCACGATCGTGGCCTCGCCGTGGTTCAAATCGTTCGATGTCGGCCGATTCCGGGATGGCAGAGCGCTCTGGGCGGGCACGACGCGTTTGAGCGGTGTGCCGAAGTGGGCGTGGTGGGGCACGCGAACCACCCGCACTGCGGCCGCCGCTGGTGGGGCCCCCCGTCAGGGCACGAAGCGTGCGAGAGGTGTGCCGAACTCGTCCTGGGGGCCACACGCGCGCGCGCCCAGCGGGGCCGCGGGTGGAGCTCCCCGTGGGGGGGCACGAAGTGCGTGAGGGGTGGAAACAGGCGCACGGCGGCATTCGCGGCAACCCCACTGGGGCCGTAGGACCTCCCTCTGGGGCATACCCTCCTCCTCCTCCTCCTCCTCCTCCTCCTCCTCCTCCTCCTCCTCCTCCTCCTCCTCCTCCTCCTCCTCCTCCTCACGCGCCACCCCCACTGGGGCTTCAGGTGGAGCCCTGTATGGGGGGCACGACACGCGCAAGAGAGGGGTGTGCCGAGATGGGCGGGGGGGCGGCATGCGCGCCACCCGCACTGCGGCCGCAGGTGGGGCTCCCTGTCAGGGCACGCAGCGCGCGAGGGGTGTGCCAGAATGGTCGTGGGGGCCATGCGCGCGCGCCCGCTGGGGCCGCAGGCGGAGCTCCCTGCGTGAGGAGTGGGCCGAGATTGGCACGAACGAGATGCGCCCGCGCCCAAGCGGGCGTCGTAGGTGTAACTCCATGTGGGGCGCGAAACATGTGAGGGGTCGCGCCACAATCCATGGGCGGCAACGGGGGGGGGCACACGCGCCCGCCCGCTGGGGCCGTAGGTGGAGCTCACTGTGAGGGCACGGAACGCGTGAGGGGTGTGCCGACCGAAATGGGCGGGGGCGGCATGCGAACCACGCGCACTGGAGCCTCACGAGGTGGAGCTCCCTATGGGGGCACGAAACGTTTGGGAGGGGTGAGCCGACATGGACATGTGCACGGAGAGCAGGTGCAGGGAGCGGAGGAGGAGGAGAAATGATGACAAGGACAAGAACAAGGCGCTTGGGGAGATGAGTCCAGTCAAAGCCCAGGCTCGGAAACTCTTGAGGCCCCCCATGTGGTTCTAAATGTAGGCAGGGCCCCTCTGGAGGCCTGCTCAAGGGAGCGGATGGGAAAACGGAGGTGGGAGAAGGATGTGGAGCGAGGCGCTGCGGATTCAAAGCGAAGACCCAATAATACAGGAGGGCCTGGAAAAGCAATCAGCACGTCTAAATTACTTTTTGCCCATAGACCGCGGCATGTGTGAGCCCTGCCCCCACTGGCCCGAGTCACTGTGGGGCGACAGGACACTGGCGGGAGTTCAGGAACGGCGCGCGGGCACGATCGGAGAAGAAAAAAATCATGGGCGAGCCCCTACTGGTCCGAATCGATAAGCGGTGGGTGGGGGGCCAGATGTTGCCCGCCGATTCGAGATGCCGGAGGTCTGGGAGTACGTAAAAAAGCAGAGGGACAAGGGACAATCGAGGTCTACCATCTGAGGGCGGAAAGTAGCCGAACAGACATGGGCGAGGCCGAGCCTCGGAAGGGGCAGCGCAGGCAAGTCCCGCACACGCCCCTAAAAGCGCGCACGGGCGCGCCGAGCCGCGCCCAACACCCGATCCAGCGCAGCACCGACGCCAGGCGACGGCGCCACGCTGGAGCGGGCGGCGGGCGCGGCTCACGCCCAGCCAGCACCTCGCCCCTGAACCAGTCTTGGCCCGAGGACGCAGCGCCAGAGCACGGGGCGAGAAGCTTTCGCCAGCTCGGCGCTTCAATCAGACAATGCGCCGCACAGCGGCGGCAAATCAAGTAGCGGCCAGAAGCCTGCGCGACATGGCCCTCGCAAACGAAGGTGTCTGGAGGCCCCATCGGGGCCTCAGCGGGGGCCTCGAGCCCCAGCGCCCTGAGGGCACCCTGGACGGCGGCACATCGCGCCCTAGGAAGGAAGGACGCCTCCACGCCGCCAGGCGCGCACGGCTGAAAGAAATAAGTGGAGGGGAGACGGGGCGCATCTAGCGCCATGCTGCTCGAGCTTCTTCCTGCTCAAAGCCGCCCGCGCCGAGCAGTGACACCACGTGCACCTCGCCCCTCAGAGACCCCCTCCACCAGCTCCAAATCGCGAGAAAGCAAAGCGAGCTCGGGGAAGCCGCCCCCTCTCACCCGCACGGGCGCGGGAAGGTCTGGGGCTGAGGCAGCAGCTCGCTGCGCAGCCCGCGAAAGGAAATCCAGCGTCCTGTAGCAATCCTTGAGCTTCTCACGCAGCGGCGAGGTGACCAGCTCTGGCAACTGGTGTTCACTCGCCCCCAGCCGCGCAAAGAAGTCGGCCCAGGCGTTCCCGACGCAATCGACGACACTGCGACCAACGACTTCCCAGGGGAACGCCTGGCCCTCAAGGGCCGCGAACAAATCCTGATGGGCTGGGGTCCAGCAGAATGCTGGCCGCTCAGACCTGCCGCGATACAAATCAAAAACTCGCCTCCAAACCGAGGCGCGCGTGCCTCTGCCAGCGGCCAATCCAGGGCCCCAAGAGTTCCCCTGCTTCACCGCCGACAGATGGTCCGATACAACTTCAAGGCCCCATGGCCCAACCTTCAAAGCATGGAGGATAGCCTGGCGCCCGGCCCTCGGGGCCGTCTGCACAGGCCCCGCGAGGGGCCCAAACTCGGCCTTCACAGGCCATCCCCCAGGAGAGAGGGCCACGACCGACCAGCCACATCGCGTGGCCTCTGGGGCCCCCGACGCCAGGCCTCTCCCATCGGTGTACAAACGAAAGCCCCATGGCGCAGACTCAGCACCCCAGGAAAAGACGTTCGTCTGAGCAGCGACTGCGGGGATCTCGACAGGGAGAGAGGGCAAACCGTAAACCAACTCAGGAGTGTCGAAGTCGGGAGGGGCCCCATGCGCCTGCTCTTTTAGCCACTTCCTGTGCTCAAAGCACGAATCTGGCATGGCAGGGCTCGCATCTGGGTCGTCACTCGCCGCCCACAGCCCTTCGCACTCGTAAAACTGATGGCCGAAAGTCACCTGCGGATGATCGCAGAAGTCACACTTGCTGCTAGACGCGTAGCCGCGCGGAAACTCGCGGGCTGGAGGCCACGTAGCCCCTGACCAGTGGGCCCTGAGACACGCCCTGCGGGCCCCTTGAAGCCTCTGGAACCCCGGCCGAAGAGCCCTGACCCAGACGACCTCATGCCCCTGGGCCTCGGGGAGACAAGACACAAGCTGGATCCCCAGGGCGCTGCTAATTCCTTCGCGCAGCAAACAACGAACATCTGAGGGAGACGTGCGCAACAAAGAGAGAACATCATCACTCCGGCCCGCCCTGATGCGATGGGGCCCAACAAGTTCCAATCCAACTCGCTGCAGTGAGAGCATGACGGATCCGACTGGCGCTCTGACTCTAAACCAATGCGGTGCCGCCAAGAGAGCTTTAGAGGCCTGCTCCCACACACAGCGCATGTCCGAATCTTTGGCACGGCCGCCCCACACCCAGCAGCAATAACGATGCGCAAGTTGGACGGTGG